TGCCCCAGACGTCGGCCCTCTCGTCGAACTTCTCCAGCGGCTTGCGCCAGGAGCGACTCCCGCTGCCAGGGCCGAGAGACAGTGGGAGAGAGAGAGAGAGAGAGAACCACAAAATGAGAGAGAGAGAGAGATAAACCAAAACACAAACAACGGGGGAAGGCCTGGGCCTCCCGCGGCCACGGCTAGAGCTGAGCTGCAACCGCGCGATCGGCTGGAGCTGTGCAACCGCGCGATCGGCCTGTCCGCTCCCGGGCCTCCCCCCCGGCAGCCCACCCCCAGGCACGCGGCGGGCTCGGGTCCCTCCTGGGCTCGACCAGCTTCGCCAGCAGCTCCTCGGCCACCTCGGGGGCCGAGGAGTCCGCTTCCTCCGCCGCGCGGGGCGCGCCGCGAGGGCACGGAGCGCCCAGGGACTTGCGCGCGGGGGCGCGTACCTCTCGGAGGGCGCCGTCGGGAAGGGGGGCGTGAAGTTGCGGAGACGGGGGGGGTCGGATGGGATGGCGAGTGGGAGGGAACGGGAGGCGGGGGAGGAGAGGGGGGGAGGGGGGAGGGATGGGGGGGTGGACGGAGGGTGGTGGAGAAAGGGAGGAGGGGGGAGAGGGAGGGGGGAGATGAGGGCGGAAGGGGTGGGAAGGAGGAGAAGGAGGAGGGAGGAAGGGAAGGAGGGAGGAGGGGAAGGAGGAGAGGGAGGGGGAGGAGGGGGGAGTGGGGCGCAGAGGGGGGACGATGCCGATGCAAAATCTTCATTTGGAAGTGCAATGCTTTAGACGCTCACAACCGAGCGCTGGTTGGACAAGCTGAGCGGACTCCTGCAGGAAGCAGCGGACGCCGACGATGTCTGGTAGCAATTGGGGCTCCCACGCGGGTGGAGGGATGAGGAAGCGAGGGGTTTCGAGGTCGACGCCCAAACTATAGGATAGAATATGTTTTTCTGGATACAGGCGGTGCACAAGTTTGGCTACGCCGCACGCCGCCCGAGGACAGCCCTCGGGACTGAAAGATACGGTTGGGGTGCACACGTGCGTTGATGCTACCCTTCACCGTGCAAGCACTTTATATGCTTGTGGCCTACTTTGCAGACTTGGTGAACCACCCTCCAGCGCGCCAGTGCTAGGATGCAAATATGGGAGAGAGCGTGATCCACCGCCGCTTTACTGTGGAAAATTGCCGCCCTTTTCCTCCGGAGCCCGGGGTCCCCCCCCCCCTCCCCTCTCCCGGCAAAACCCCCCCCCTCCCCTAACCCTCCCCTCCACCCCCCCTCGAAAACCGGGGGGGGGGGTCACTACCGGTTCGAACCCCCCCCCCCCCCCCTCGAAAACCGGGGGGGGGTCACTACCAGTTCGAACCCCTCCCCCCCCCCCTCTCGAAAACCGAAGGGGGTCACTACCGGTCCACTGTTGTTCCCAGCACCACTGTCCTCACCGCCACTGTCCCCACTGGTTCCACCACCGTCCCTACTGTCCCCACCAGAGCCCCCACCACTGTCGCACTGTCCCCGCTGTCCCCACCACTGTTCCCACCACGGTTCCACTCTCCCCACTTTCTCCACGGCCCCAACCACTGCCCGACTATCCCCACTGTCCCCACTGTCCCACTGACTCCTCCGCTGTCCCACTGAGCTGTCCCACTGTTCCCACCACTGTCCCCACTGTCCCCGCCACTGTCCCCACTGTACCTCTGTCCCATTGTCCCACCGCCGTCCTCGCCACCGCCTTCACCACTGTCCCCACCACCACTGTACCCTCCACTGTCCCACTGTTTCCACCTCATTCCCACTGTCCCCACACCACTGTCCCCTGTCCCACCGTTCCCACCACTGTCCTGTCCCCACTGTTCCCACCATTGTCCCCACCCCCTGTCCCCACCACTGTCCCACTGTCCCACCACTGTCCCCACCACCACCGTCCCCACCACTGTCCGCACCCCCCTCGGTTTTCGAGGGGGGGGGGGGTTCGAACCGGTAGTGACCCCCCCCGGTTTTCGAGGGGGGGGGGGGGTTCGAACCGGTAGTGACCCCCCCCCTTTTCATGATGAACTGGGAGGGGGGGGGGAGGGGTTCGAACCGGTAGTGACCCCCCCTGGTTTTCCGGAGGGGGGGGGGGGAGGGGTTCGAACCGGTAGTGACCCCCCCCGGTTTTCCGCCAGCAGCGGTAGAACACGCTCTTTCAAATATGGAAACCAAAAAGATCGCACCACAAAGGGCAGTAGTGATTTGTCGTTAGAGCTGCAGCGTAATTGCAGCACCAGCAAGAGTGGAGGGTGTGGCGACGGAGACGTTTCTTGCGTTCAAGCGGAACTTTTATTTGATGCTGCGGGGTTGTACCCCTGCACGGGCGAGCTTGCGGGTGGCCTGTTGGGCCTGCAGAAGCAGACACACTGAAATAGAAGACACCAGGATCGGAGGTGGACAGAATAACCCCTTGAGAGAAACCGGCCCAGGACCAGATCGTGCTGGCGCAGGCCCGCAAAACATTCGGCCGCATCGACGTCTCGATTGCCGGTAAAGGAGAACTCACTGGTCGACCTGACGGGGTGGAGGTCCTGTCAATCTCCGACAGGAACTCAGGGAGAAACCCGAGTTGAGGAGCCACAATAGGGGGGACTGGCATAGGGGGGGGGGTACATCGACCTGGAATCGGCGATGCATGTCCGATAGATCGGCGATAGGCCCCCGATAGCAAATCCCCTCGTTCCTGGGCGGGGAGGGGCGATCGGACCCCTATCGGCGAACCATGGGGCGATTGGGGGTCGATGCGTCCCCCCCGATGCCCAACCCCCCTGCCGTTGCCACTGAGGAGCTCAGGGAGGAACCCGGGTCCAGGTTGACGGCCTTGGGGGGGCTCCGGCGGGGGCGCATCCGCCATGCGAGGCATCGTCCGGGAGAGGCGCGGCGGGGGCCCTGGGGTCGGGCGGGGAAGTCCCGCCCCGCTCCCAGGGGGGGCTCGAGCCTGGTGGCAGGCGCGCGCGCGCGCCCTCCTCCTCCTCCGCCTCTCTCGTCCGTCCTTCCGCCTTTCTCGTCCGTCCTTCCCCCCTTCTATCTCCCTCCTGCTGCTGCTCTTCCTCCCTCTACCCTTCCTCCTCCTCTTCTTCCTCTTCCTCCTCCTCTTTCTCCTCCTCCTCCTCCTGCTCCCATCGTCCTTTTCTCCCTCGCCCCCTGCCCCTCCTCGTCTTGTCCTGTTTCCCTTTTCTCTCCTTTTCCTCTTTGGTAATCCAACTGGAAATCACTCTCGTCGTCGTCCTCCTTCTCCTCTGGCTTGGGGGGGCGGTAGAACCGCAGTTGCACACCGAACAACGGAACTGACGGAGGGAGGACAAGGAGGGGCAGGGGGCAGACAACGACTGCAACGGCGGTCGCATGCCCATCGGACGCCAGGCGCTTACAGCAGGACCGGCGCCTGGACGAGACCCAGGGCGGCGAACCAGGAGCGACCCCAGAGAGGTGAAAGCACGGCCCATACTGCAACAAAAACTGACAAGAAGAGGTGACAGCACTCCTCGGAACAACCGTAGACAGATGACGAAACCCTGAATGCGGAACACCATGCGCAGGATGGCCAGGTGCACGAACGTGCATATTGCCCAGGAGAGAGGGGAGGCCTGGTCTCATGATGGCCAGTTCCACAGACAGAGGGGGGCCATGAGTGCGACAGGTCCGAGGCAAGAGCGCCGACCAGAACGCATGGAGGCGCTCCGAACGCAGACAGAACATGCGGAAGATCACGGCCTGCAATCTGGAGAGTGAAGAACCATGTGCAGGAAGGACGGGTGCACGGAAGCATGCCGTCGTGGTAGAGGAGAAGAATGATATGCATGATGGGTAATTTTCCATGCGCCAAAACCGCGGGTGCCACAACAACATCGCGCATCGAAAGGTCGCTAGGCAAACCGGGAACACGGGAACACCGCTCAAGCCGACCTGCATGCAATAGACAAACTTGTGCTACGAACCGTGGCCTAGACAACTGTTCGTCAACGCAATAGCGACAGCAAGAGGAGAGGAAGGAGAAAGGAGAAAGGAGCGAAAGAGGAGGACGAGGAGGAGGAGGAGGAGGAATGTGTCCCACGAATCGGGGAACTACGCTGTCCAATTTCCCGAAAAACTGAAATGGCCCCAGGCCCAGGCAAGCACAAAGAAAACAGTCGGGCGGAACTTTGGGCGGACATAGAGATACGAATTGGCCCGCAAAACGTATCGGCGTCGCGCCGGGAGCGCGCGGAGGCGAGGGGACGATCAGAGGAGGAGGAGGAGGAGGAGGAGGAGGAGGAGGAGGAGGAGGAGGAGGAGGAGGAGGAGGAGGAGGAGGTGGAGGAGGAGGAGGGGGAAAAAAGGGGAGAGAAAAGGAGAGAGAACAGGGCCAGAAAACTCGCACGACCTCAATGAGTGCGATGACTAATGCAGCAAGCGCTCTCACAAGGTTGAAAGTAGAGTAGGTGTGACGGGTTCACCCGGGGGCGAGGGCTGGTTTCTCCATGATGGGTAGTGATGTAGAAGGGGACAGGGGATAAGAGGTAGGCAAAGACGAGAGAAGAGAGGCTCATTCCACGCAAGGATAGTAGCAGTGCCAACTCTGGTGGCTCAGAACGGAGAACCACCTCAGCCAAAGTCTGTGGCCCAACACCGACACAGCACTTCCTCCGAAAGGCATGTGCCTACCCACGCCTCTGGTCAAGCAAAGGAGAGGATTCTGACCGCAGTAAGGCATTTCAGTCCGTGGGCAAGGGCGACCTCGCCATTCCAAAGCACTCCAAAGAGAGGATGCAAGGAGGGTCGGAGGGAGGGGCAGGGAAGGGGGGGGGGGGAAGGAGGGAGGTGAGAAAGGGAGAGGGCGGAGGGAAGGAGAGGGGAGGGCGATGCGGAGAGGAGGGAGGAGGGTAAGGGAGGGAGGGGGGGCGGAAACGGGAGGAAGAGGCGCGGAGGGAGGGAGGGAGGGCGGAGCGGGGAGGAGGGAGACGCCGCGGCGCGGCGCGGGGCGCTCGGTTGGGCGCGCGCCCCCGAGGCTCTCCATCGGGGTGGGGCCTCGATTCGAGAAGTCCGACCACCTGCGGGCGGGGAGCCAGGAACCCACGGGGAGGGGAGGGAGGGGGAGCTCCGAACTTCCGTCCTCATCTCCCCCCCTCCTTCTCCGCCCCTCCCCGCCGCTCCCCTCCCCTCCCTCCTCCCTGCTCCCCTCTCCCTCGCGGAACTTCCCTCCTCCCACAGGGGATCCATTTGCTGCGCACGGTCCGCTGCTCAGCTCCTCCTCCCAACAGAAGGACGCAAAACGAGCAGGTAGCATGGCCGCTCCCCCGCTTCGAGCGAAACTATCCTCGAGGGAGGGCTGTCAGATAAGGGACACAGAGCCGCATTCTGCCAGGCTGGACACTATCTTAGTGCATGCTCAGCACACGCCGAGGCGAACACTTGTTATACTTCGCGCGCGCGGGGCGAGATTCCCGTGCGAGAAATTTCCGGGCGCAGCCCGGCCAACTCCCGGACAGATCCTGGGCGGTCGGTGTCACGAGTGCCGGCATTCCCAGGGGCGGTTTTCTGGGCCCCCGAGAGCAGCGCCCCGGGAGCGCCCCGAGGGACCCAAAAGGAGTTCCAAGAGGACATTCGAGTCGGGATCCATGGGTGGCAGGTTCCAGGATGGCCTCCATATATTCCTAAAAGGCTTCACGACAGCATCCCAAATGGTCACATGCAGCTCCCAGAGGCTCCCAAGAGGAGGCAAACAATCAATGCTTTGCTCGGGATGTTGCTGGATTTTGGAGTTACCGCCTTTTCAGTCCTCCGACCGCCCAGGACGGCCCATTGGGCCCGCAAGATGGCCACAATTCAGGCCAAGAGGCCCCCAGGACGGCCACGAGACGGCCCTAGAGGGCCCCAGCCCAAAAAGGTCAGAAGAGGGGAAACCCGAACTAAATGTTCGAACTCTTTCCTGACAGGTGCCCCCCCCCCAAACCAGCAGGAAGCCCCCAAGAGGGCCCAAAGGGCCCTCCAAGAGGCCCCCGAGAGGCCCCCAGAGGCCCCCGACACCCCACCAAGAGGGCCCAAGAGGCACCCAAGAGGCCCCACGAGGCTCCAAAAATGCCCCCGCGAGCACGCAGGCAAGTGCCAACGATGCTACAATGAGCCCCCAAGAGGTTCCCAACACGACCTCAAGGGGAGTCCAAGAGGGGCCCAGGAGAGGGGACACGAACAGCCTCACGCAACACTTCAAGGAAACGATCACCAACCAGCAGCACCGCAATGGCAACGAATACGCGGGCAAATACCCGCGATGGAACAGTCTGGGCCGGCGGAATGAATGAAGCGATCCGCCGCCTCAACTGGTACGGCGTGTGAGATCCCCGCCGCATGGTCTGCAAGGACGGTTTCCCCCTAGTCCTATTACCCGCGCACTCCTCGTCATTACCCATACCTTGTCAAAGAGCCCTCGCAACCCCTCCTGTGTCCTCCCCGCGGCCTGCTCATTACGCGAAAGCCCAGTTTTGAAAAGGAATGGCGTGGCACCCTTCTGTCGAGTGACAAAGAATGTGAAAACACATGGTCGCAAAATGCATCAAGGTATTCACCGACAGCCCCCTTTTACAAAAAAGGACCGGCCTCCGTCCGTGCAACTATTACACGTCTGGTCACACATTCTGGCGACGCCTCAAGAGACAACCCAGCTGTAAAACGAAAGCATTCCACCCGCGCAGCTGGTACATCACTTCAACCATCTGGTTGCAGGGAGCGAGCGCCCCACCAGTGACTGTTGCAAGATCTTCAGACGATTGTGCGCGGCGGCCAGACGAGAGCCGCATGTTGAAAACGGACCCGCATCCATCCTTGAAACTGTTGCATGCTTTTATAACGAATGTGAGTGGCGATGAGGCGACAGCCGCATTTTGAACACGGGTGGCCCTCCTTCCTTGAAGCCGTTGCACAATATTTCAACGAATGTTCGCGACGATCAGGCGACAGCCGCAAACATTGACAACGACCAGCCCTCCATCATTCAAATTGATGCAAACGTGACCAAATCTGGGCGGCGATCAAACGAAAGCCGCATGTTAAAACGACGGGCCCTCCATCCTTGACATTGTCGGCGTCGTGTAGCTTCAGCATTGTACACTGCCAGCCCCGCCTCCCGACACGTCTGGGGATACGACAAAGGGGGGGGATCACTTACAAGAAACTCGGAGGAGGGAGGTGTGAAGGAGGAGGGGCCGCCTCCGAGGTTTCGCCACCGAGCTGAGCTCGAACACGCGAGGTGGGCGGCCCTCGAACCTGACGGCACGCGCGGCACCAACGCCCCTGTGACCCAGGCCCTCCTCCGTCCCATGCTCCTGCTCCATCGCCCCCTCCTGATGCTACTCCTTGTCCTTCTCTTCCTCATCATCCTCCCGCTTCTCCTCCTCACGTCTCCTCTACATCGCTCATTTCCGCCCTCCTTCTCCCCCCCTCCCCCTCTCGCCCTCGTCTTCCATCCCTCGTCCTTGTACATAACTCCCCCCTGCCGCACCACCAGACATGTCCGC